AACCTTAACCTTAACCTTAACTGTGTTTATTGGCTCGTAGGTCTTGAACACATAACCGCTTGATTTTTATAATGAGTTTTATATTTTTTGATTTATCATAACCTTATATTTTTAAATTTTACTAAATCTACCCTCAGCTTAGCTGTTGTTTATGGACCATTAAGTCCCAGACATGTGGTTGCTTACGTGTCAAAATTAGGACAATTAAGTAATAATGTGGTTGCCATGTCACATTAAAAAACTCAAAAATCAATTTGCATCACCTGATGTTTGCCATCTTCTTCCTTTGAGCTCCACCCTTCCTTCGAGCTCTAACATTAGAAATCTTCAAATCTCAAATACCATCTTATCTCCTTGTCGCCTCCTTCCTTTTTTCCATCCATGTTCCCAAAATCGAGGAAAGAATAAGGTGATCTCCTTATTCTCTCTTGTTGTTCATGGTACCTAAAACAAACGAATAAGTTTTTGAAATCTTCTCTAAGAGAATGAAGAAGTATAGAAATGACATGTATAAAAGGGTATTAGATTACAACTCAAAAAAATAGTGGGGGTTAGAGAAAGATGATGATAAGAATTGGGAGTGATAGATGAATTTTTGAGTTTGTTAATCTAACATGACAGTCATATCATGTGTCATATTATTGTTCACATGTTCTGATTTTGACACATAAACAATCATGTGTTTGAGGCTTAATAGCTCATAAACGACAATTAAGACTAAGGTTGGATTTAATAAAAAGTTAAAAGTATATAGTTAATATAGACTAAAAAATATAGGGATTTAGATAAAAAAAACTCAAATGACCATATGTTTGAGACTTAGTGACCCATAACGATAATTAAAGCTAAAAATAGATTCGGTAAACATTTAAAAATACATAATTAAAATAGCCAAAAATATATATATGAGTTTAGATGGAAAAATCAAATCGTATAGGAACTCATAAGTATTTTGACACAATTTTAAAGTGAAAATTTTGAACTCTAAATTTAGAGATGCATGTTTGATTTATTTTTTCTAATGTATCTTAATTCATTCTTTAGTAAAAAAAAGATGTGTACAACATAGAATTGATAAATATATAGAAGATAGATCTGACCCAAAATACCCAATGGTATTCCACAATTAAGGAAATTGTGGGCGAGACAGTAGGCTAATTAAAAAATCATGTGAGATCAAAATGACCCATCTCTTACTGAAGGCAATGTAAATGGAAAGAGGGTGTAGTATTTGAGGATGAGATGTTATGTGGAATACGCTTATTAGATACTTCTGGATCCAAATATATATGCAATAGAAAAACTTATCTCTCTTAACATTTAATATAAAGGTGAATCCTTCATTGATTGATGTACATGGTTTAAAGGCACTCAAGGAGAAGACTGAGGCATGGAAACTAGTCAGACGCATGTTGATAACAATTTATAGCCATAGCAAAGGGATGACCAAATAGTTCCTTTATCTTCTAGTGGCTTGAAATTGAT